ACGGGGGTTTCACCATGTTGACCAGGATGGTCTCGATCTCTTGACCTCGTGATCCACCCGCCTCGGCCTCCCAAAGTGCTGGGATTACAGGCTTGAGCCGCCGTATTTAATGAATTCTAATAAACTAGAGCGCATGATAGCTTTACCACATTCCTTACATAAGAATAATGTTTTTGAAAATAGCCCAGTGAACTAATATCATCCTGTGTTGGTTTTGTTGTGTTTCTGCTTCCCCAGGAATGAGTTGCAAACGTACTTCTCAGAGCTAATTAAATATAATACCAATGTGTCTGTAAGCGTTTATACCAGATACTACTTCTGTCTTCGTGCCTTGGCATTCAGGCATGGCCTGGGTTTGCCACATTACCTTCTTGACAGAGAAAGAGCATGGGATCTGCAGGTAAGGCTACGAAGTTACTAAGTGGGTTTTCAGTCAAACACCAGTGCCAACATTTATGACTAGGTTATATTAAGTAGTGATTAGAAAAATGGAAAGCTTTGAAATTAACTAACATACTGAAGAGCTTATTAACCTTTTGACATTCTATTTCCTGTATCTTTTATGGTTTTTATAAAGAGTCATGTTTTTTGAAAATTATAGATATTATCTCTTTTGTGGCCATAATTCAGAATGTTTTAATCAAATTAAATTCATTCTTAATGAATTTGAACATTTTGAACTTTTGCCCTTGCAAATAATCATACAGAAATTATTTCTTGCCATTGTACTTCTAACGATGTCTACATACATAATGCACTTACCACTCTTGACTACTTTTTAGTACTCAGTTAGCAAATTTCTGTCATTTTCTACTGTGTATACCACAGTGCAGTCAGTCCCATGGGTGTGTTAGACAAACCATTAGTGCCTAAGCCGCGTGCCTCAAGTACCGGCTGCAGGAAGTACATGGGATTTTACTGGAAATGATAACTTTTATGGTACAAAGTAATTTTTATGGTTTGTGACTTTTGGTAAGTACACAGCAAAATTACTCACAGCTGACATGGATGAACATTTAACATAGGCATGTTCTGTGGCATCATGGAAGTATTTTAAAATAATACAATTTTCTACCCTAAGCATAAAAGTGGTGCCTTTTGATGATTAATCATTAGACTTTGTTGACATTTCAATACAATCCAGCACATGCCTGCCTGGTTAAAATTTTCTGAGTATATAATAACTTACAGATTGGGTAGAATTTGAATAGATTAATAAACTAACTTTTCGCAAAATTATGCATTCGTTATTTTTAAGGCACAAGTGCACAGGTAACAGATGATACTGTTAGAAGCCTGTGACAATACTGTGACATTTTTGGGAGCCCAAGTTTTAAGTAACTTAATAAAGCAAGTTCCCGTTTGCTCCAGCAATCTAATTCTAGCCCTGAAAGGAGATGACCTAAGTAAGCTGCCAGAAGTTGGCAGTGTAAACCTCAGCCAAAGTAGCTGTAGCTGAACTATCTGAAGGAGTCTGCATGTGTGGCTTACCATCAGTGGTGACTGGTAAAAGGTTGGAACTCTTTTTAAAATTGTACCTCTTTTCTATTTGACATTCTTAGGCTTTATCAAGGATGGAACAAGATGAAGTGTTCTATGCTGTTCACAAGAATTGGTCTTTCAGTGCTGACGATTTAATTCGTCTTCAGCACGCTAAGGCCGTCCTCTCCTGAAGGAAGAAATGAGGGGTAATGTAACATCTGAACCCCTCATCAAAAAAGACAGGAGAATACCACCTCTCCTGCTAAAGAACTAGAAAAATTCGTATTTTCAAAAGAAGAAATACCTCAACACAAGTTAACTCAAGGAGAGCTAAGACTGCACTTTATAGTAAGTGGGACCTTGTCAGGGCAACAACGCAGCCTTACACTCTTCTGTCCCTTTTAATGTAAACAGAGTTATAGAAACCGCTCCAGAATAACCACTTCTGCCCACTCACAGATAACTTGCTTAGTGTGTGGGCTGATAGCTGTGAACTATGTAAGGCTTTTTTTGTTTTGTTTTCAGATGAGTCTCACTCTGTTGCCAGGCTAGAGTGCAGTGGCATGATCTCAGCTCAATGCAATTTCCACCTCCTGGGTTCAAGCTATTCTCCTGCCTCGGCCTCCCTCCTTAATTAAATGTTTTATTTTAAATAGCTGGGATTACAGGGGCACCTGGCCTGTGTAAGGCTTTTAAAACAATAGTTTAAATTTTTTAGATTTTAAAGATAACTTTTCTGTTTTTTTTTAATATTTTTTCTTTTCCCCCAAATTGCAGTATTAGTATTAAAACATGTCCAAGGAGTTAATGAATAGCACAGTCTTTTCTTCCTGGGGGTCCTCCCCTTCAGGTGTCCCAGCCTGCTCGCAGCAGCCATAGACGGAGCCTTTGTACTGAGAGAAGCTACAGAGCTCTGGAAAGCTGGGAATGCACACACGCACATGATCAGATTTGAGAATAGGAGGTGGGTTGTGATGTCCTCTCCGAGGGAATAATTGTGATTTTCCTGAGGCTGTTTCTAGATATTGTCAAATAAATTCAGATGTAGGTAAGACGTGACTTTATTCTAAAGGAGTACTGTATTGCAATGGGGAAAGCACCAAGCATCAGATCTGCAAGCATCTCACAAGAGGCAGAAAAGGGCTGTGTTATTTATGGAGGAGCAAACAAGATTAGAAGGACGGTGGGAGGCAGAGTGGAGAATGGCAAAATCAGATTCCAGCTTAGGGAATGTTTCACCCAAAAGTCAGCCTGTTCTTAGGAGGGACATAAACAGGGTTTGAATGTTGGCTCAGACTGAAGGCAGAGCAGAGTCCGAGAGCTGGGGAAAGGAGAGAAACTTAAGCAAAGTTGTGGTGGAATTCCTGGAACTCAGGGGGCAAAGGCTGCAGCGAGCCGAGATTGCACCAGTGCACTCCAGGGTGACAGAGTGAGAATCTGTCTGATAAATAAATAAACAAATATTTTAAATAAACTCTTTTACATATTTCAAATAAAATCTTGTTTTAACCAATTACAGTTTGTATTCGTGTAATTTTGTTAATATAAAAACCCACCTCTAGAAAGACTATTATAATAGTCTTACTCATATCCAACTAAATTTTACCACCCTGTTATCTAAAAAAAAAAAACAAAGTTTCCATTAACTAATCTTATTACAATTCACAACATGCTTAGACTTTCTGTTTTGCCTAAATATTCTCTTTTTTGAACAACCCGGTCATTTTATTTTAGGACAAAAAATTTACCACACAAAATTGCTTCTATATAAAATTGTTGTTTTTCACCTTTATCAAAAATACCTCTTTATGTCTTTAACTTTCTTCTCTTATTTCCTGGTTCCTATTACCTCATTTTATACATAACTTTTTTTTTTTTTTTTTTTTTTTTTTGTTTTTTTTTTTTTTTTTTTTTTTTTTGAGACGGAGTTTTGCTCTTGTTACCCAGGCTGGAGTGCAATGGCGCGATCTCGGCTCACCGCAATCTCCGCCTCCTGGGTTCAGGCAATTCTCCTGCTCCAGCCTCCTGAGTAGCTGGGACTACAGGCACGCACCACCATGCCCAGCTAATTTTTTGTATTTTTATTAGAGACGGGGTTTCACCATGTTGACCAGGATGATCTCGATCTCTTGACCTCGTGATCCACCCGCCTCGGCCTCCCAAAGTGCTGGGATTACAGGCTTGAGCCACCGCACCCGGCTACATAACTTTTATAGAAGCTTTGAATTAGACAAAGATATTTACCTTCTAATAAGAACATTTTAAAAATGTTTTCCTACATTTTTTGGGTTGGAAATTACCCAACTACTTAATATCTATTAATAACCTTAGATACCAAGTCATATGACAAGTCTGTTTACAACCATTTATTCCATTACATTTACAAGATAATTTAATATTTTATCTAGATTATGAAAACTGTGATAGTCATTATTTAAGTAAATTCCCTGTTAACCATTTTTATAGCTATGAATTTCAGGTGTTTAAGTAATTTTCTTTTCTTTTTTTGTTTGTTTGTTTGAGACAGTTTTGCTTTTATTGCCCAGGCTGGAGTGCAGTGGTGCAATCTCGGCTCACTGCTACCTCTGCCTCCTGGGTTCAACTGATTCTCTTGCCTAAGCCTCCCAAGTAGCTGGGACTACAGGTACCTGCCACCACACAGGCTAATTGTTTTGTACTTTAGGTAGAGACAGGGTTTCACCGTGTTGGCCAGGCTGGTCTTGAACTTCTTCCATCAGGTGATTGGCCCCCACCTCAGCCTCCCGAAGTACTCCCAAATTAGAGGCATGAGCCACCGTGCCCAGCCTATTTAAGTAATTTTCTTAAGGTTAAATATAAGGGTATTTTACCAATAACTCAGAATGTAGATGTTTTCATTAAACCAAATTATTCCATGTCTTTTTTATCAAAAATTACACAAGCAAAGATCATTCTGTCTTGGGCTGGGTTTTATAGTTTTATAACCCTTATAACAAATCTTAATAGTATTCTGCAGGAATAAGCATGAAATCACTTGATCAACAAGTACAAATGAAAATGCTAGAAATTTTCACAGCATTTCTAATATTTTCCCAATAATTTGAAAGTCAGCTTATTTATAAAAGATTTTACTTAAGTCACATAAATGTGAAAAAGCATTTGACTAGTCTTTTTATTGACAAAATGGTTGACTTATGTACTTGTATTTTTCTTTAAGTCAGTGAATTAGAGCTTTCTATAGTAGAGAAATATTGTGTACACAACATATAAATACATAAATCTATTTGGCATGCTGTCAGAAATATGACTTACAGATTCATAAGACCTCTTTTTTTTCTATCTTAGACTTTTAAATTTTTTCATTTTTTTTTAATTTAAAAAGTTTTTGGGGTAACAGGTGTTTGGTTACGCCACAACAAAATCACCACCACAAAAAAAAAATACTTCTTTGAATTTTATTTCAAAATGAATAATTGAAATAATTTTAATGTTTTTATTTCTAACACTTGGTACTAGTGCTGGCTTGTTTTTGAAGAAATATTGATTGAGCATTTAATATTATTTGGAACATATGTAGAAACGGTTCCTGCTTTCTTGTTCTTCAGTGGTGATTTTTGAGATTTTGGTGCACCCATCCCTGAGCAGTGTACACTACCCAATGTGTAGTCTTTTTCCCTCACCCACCTCCTGCCCCTTCCCCCAAGGCCCCCAAATCCATTGTATCATTCTTATGCCTTTGCATCCTCATATCTTAGTTCCCACTTTTGAGTGAGAACCTAAGATGTTTGGATTTCTATTCCTCAGTTACTTCGCTTAGAACAATGGTCTCCAGTTTCATCCATTATATTGTTCCTTTTCATGGGTGAGTAGCATCCATGGCATAAATGAGGTCTAGGGAACTCCAAGGCTACTGAGAGTAGGTGGGCTAGAGATGGGGTGAGAGTGGATAATTCTTATTCCCTAGGCCCTCCCTGCTTCACGAGTGCAAGCTGCTTTGGCACCTATGGTTGGTGCCTGCCAAGGTTGCTGGGACTCAGGGATGCAAGGACAGAAGAGGGAAAGAGGACACCCTTCTCTTCCTGACATACCCAGGGTATATCTGCCAGGAAGAGAAGGAAACCAGGTGTGCCTGCATCCCTGTTTTTGGATGGGTAGCCATCCATCTTCCATCTGTACCCCTTTGAAATCCATCTGGAACCCCTGGGACTCCTTTGAAAAAACATTTGTTTCTTTCTCCTCTTCTGTCCTCTCTTCACAGACAGGCAACTCTGTCTCTATACTATGGGACACTTTCCTCAGATGCGTCCTCCAAACAGAAAATTTGTTAATTTTTCAAACCTGGTTGGCTTAGGATTGGGCTCAGGGGAAGGGAACCCAGAAGCACAACATGCTGGCCAAAGGAACAAGTTTCTTTTTACCCGTGGGGCTTTTGGCCTCCCTCTCCCTGTGCAAACTGGTAAAAGGACTTGGGACTTTTTAGCTGTCCTTAGCCCTCCCCTTGTTTTGATTCGCTTTGATTTGTTTTGTTTTGTTTGAGAAAGAGTTTCTCTCTTGTAGCCCAAGCTGGAGTGCAATGGTGAAATCTCGGCTCACCAACCTCCACTTCCCGGATTCAAGAGATTCTTCTGCCTCAGCCTCCCTAGTAGCTGGGATTATAGGCACCTGACACCATGCCCATGTAGTGGTTTGTATTTTTTGTATTTTTAGTAGAGACAGGGTTTCACTCTGTTGGCCAGACTGGTCTCAAACTCCTGCCTCAGCCTCTAAAAAGTGCTGGGATAATAGGCATGAGCCATCGCGCCCGGCTCACTTTGTTTTGATACATGTCTTCTAATAATCTGGTGTGTGTTGTCTCACCTTCAGCCATCAAAGCTTGAATGGTCAAGCAGCTGGAGCCTCGGACAATAATCTCTCTGCCAGGGACCCTTAGATAGGCCTCTGAGGGGACTCTGAGTGCTGTTTTCCCAAAACCGCCCGACAGTTGGAAGCAGCATCCTTATTCTATCGTCAGTTGGATGTACTTCTTTAGAGGGAGGAATGAGGCAGCTGAGTATAAAGGGGTCATCAGAGAACCTCCAACTGGCCCGCACACTGGGAGGAGTGAGCACTGGAGTGGAGCCCCGGGAAGTTTGCACTGTTTGCAGAGTGGAGAGCCTGACCTCTTCCCTTCCTGTATGGAATCTGGAATTCAGTCTGTGAAGAGAGAAGCCTATGCTAGCGTAACTCTCACTCTGCTGAGGCTCCCTGGTTCCTCTT